TTCTAGATCTAAATTTTGACTTGTCTGTTTGGTTTATGGTCTAATCATATCTTCTTTTTTATAACCGCGTACAGAAAAACATGTTATACAGACACAGACTTCACATGTACATGCATGTTATTTTTATGCTGTTCGGTTTAGGAAAAAATAAAATTTTACATAAAACATATACTTAAACATTATTACCGTATAGACCTTTGGTTTTTTTTTTAATAATTAATTATAACACGCTGGGAGCAAGTCGCGATCCTGTGGCCATGTCTCCCGATCATTGTAAGTAGGAAAATTGAAACAAAATCTAGTTATATTTTTTTTCGTTAATTCCTTCTTCTGGATGCCCAAATTCTTTACAGATGTTCGCAAAATCAGTACTTGCCCACGTTTTATTACAATCTGTTTGTTTACATTTATTTTTAACATGGTAATGAAAATCCTAAATTTAAAATGTGCACTGTGTCATGAATTATGGAATGTCGATCTCGATTATTTTTATCCATTAAAATATATAACACTTAAATGAATACCATAACTATATCTGCTTTTTTTGGTGGTCATTCCGTTTTGTTTTGTTTTTTTCGTTTTGTGAAATTAATTCCTAAATATTAAAAAACTAAGAGTTGCGGGATAGGATAGGATAGGATTAGACTGAAATCACAGGATAGGATTGTGGATGCAGGATTCACGATAGGATAGGATAGAATTGTCAACTTATAGGATAGCAGCACTGTAACCACTATTGAAATGCGACCACTATTGAAATAATTATTTCAATAGTGGTTGAGGGTGCATTTCAATAGCAAACATAATTTATGGCCACTATTGAAATACGACCACTATTGAAATAATCATATCAATAGTGGTTGAGAGTGCATTTCAATAGCAAACATAATTAATGGCCATTATTGAAATACGACCACTATTGAAATAATCATATCAATAGTGGTTGAGAGTGCATTTCAATAGCAAACATAGTTAGTAACAACTATTGAAATATGACCACTATTGAAATAATTACTTCAGTGGTGGGTGAGAGTACATTTCAACCATAGGTTTCAACCACTATTGAAATACGAGCATGCACTATTGAAATAATTATTTAAGCCGCTTAACCCGAAACAGGCACATATTATCTTACACAATAAAAGTACGTCATTACATAGATAATGTATAAAAATACATTATAAGATTGATTTAATATTTAATTACAACAATCCTTACATGGAAAACGCAGATCAAAACCTTATTGACAAACAGTAGTTCCTGACGGAAGTTAAGATCTGTAGTGAAGTCAATTTTGAAAAAAACAAGTTTATCGGATATATTTGATAATGAAGATAATTCAAACCCGAGTATTTTTTTTATCTATTAGTATAAGCCTTAGTCATAATATATCTTTTCAAAATTAAGAAATTAATTGAATATTATAATCCATTGTAACTTTTATATTAATATGCATATGTTTAAAGAATAAAGAAAAAATAATATATTTTAAATGATTTTTAAAGGAGCTAAAATATAAAATGCTCGGGTTTGTTCTTCATGAGATAAACATCTAAGCGATAAATTTAATTTTTCGAAGGTGATTTCACGCGATATCTACAGTGATCAACATAGGATTATTTTTTGTGTGACTTAACAAAACTTATTTTTATAACTTTTGAATTTTGATATCTTTTAAAAGAAAATACTTTGGGGATATAATTTGACAAAACTTGAAACAATTTATGGACAATTATTTTTCAAGAAGTAAAACGAATATATATTTTTAGCAATTAGAATCGGACCAAGCGGCTTTAATAATGGGGAAGAGTGCTTTTCAATATGATTACGAGAGGTTTCAACTACTCATGAAATATGAGCAGTATTGAAAGAAAATTTCCATCGCGTAATTGTTTTGTTTTTTATCCAAAATTTCACAAAAATTGGATTTGGGGTGAAAAATATATACATAGATTAATAATTAAAGTGTATAAAATAATAAGGATGGTTTTAGTGAGGCAAAATGTTGAACATCATAGAAGATTTACAATTATTTCTTTACATTCTAGAAATTTATTATTTGCATCATTGTCAATGAAATCAGACAAAAAAAATATACCAATCCAGGCATCCATATTTTGTTTGTATCATCAGTCCTAAGATGAAGATTTAGATAGTTATTGAAATAATAATAATTTCAAAAGTGATTTAAATAATTATTTTGATAGTTGCTGATAATACTTCAAAACTAAAACCATAATTTAATCCATATTGAAATCTTTATTTCAAAAGTGAACATTAATTCAATAGTAGTTCCAACCTATGTTTGTTATTGAAATTAATCTCACCCACTATTGAAATAATTATTTCAATAGTGGTCGTATTTCAATAGTGGTTATAACCTATGTTTGTTATTGAAATACACTCTCAACTACTATTGATATAATTATTTCAATAGTGGTTGTATTTCAATGGTGGTTAATAACTATGTTTGCTATTGAAATGCGCTCTCAACCCCTATTGATAAAATTATTTCAATAGTGGTCGTTATTTCAATAGTGGTTGCAACAGTGCTTGTTTGATCAAGTGGACTAAGATGATTGGGTAATTTATTTCTATTTTTTCAGTTTCGAAAAAGAACATTTTTTCTTCAGGCGAGCCTTACTGCCTCCGAGTTTCTGATTTATAATGTAATTAATTTTTGCATTAATTATCCAATCATTAACTCTTAATTATCTAAAATAAAGTATAAAAACAGCATTGCGTCTGAGTACTCTCAGTTCTTTGATGAATTTTCTTATTGGCTGCTAGCTTCTACGGGCTTAGTGGCTGCTGTTATTGGCTGCTAGCTTCAGCCTGGTATTAAAGTATCATTAATCGTATAAATGAATGATTATAACGACCATAGAATTTAAGTTATGTCACTCATGAAACTTGTTATTTCAAAGTTATTTTGAAAGGTATATTTTGGATAGTACCCGATAGTATGACGCGAGAAGATAAGGGGTCAGTGTGCATCCTACTTATAGCTACGGTTCAATTAAGTTTACCTTTTTGCACTTAAATTTTTATTCTTTTATTTATCAACATTTATCATATTCTATTAGATATAACAATGGCTATGATTATAATCTTATTTTACGTAAACTAGTTTGAAACATATTTATCATTGAACAAATGTTACAAAATAATCCGCGTAAATTATTTCGTGATATGTTTATTTTTTACATTATAAAGTTACATATTTGTGGCATAGAAATCTAAATAGGCGATAAAAAAATATTTTCTTTCAGAAAGTACTTCGTAGTATATACACCGATTCCACACATTACCCCATATCATGGACCTGTCCGAAAATGTATATATATCACATATCAGACCGGTGTGCAAAAATCAATATCAAACCGGAAGTAACTTAACGCTTGTATCAAGTTTAAAATTTAATTTACTTGATTTTATTTAAATACACATTTTAAAAAATTCCTTAATAACATTTTTGTTCATATTTATTTTTCAATTATCTAAAATTGCCTAAATAATTTTAAAGAAAAAAAAGCATAAACAGACATGAAACATTTTTAAATTATTTTATGTAAACTCGCTGACTAAGTATAAATATATGATAAATAGAATACTACATACTAAAATCCATACCCTTGGGCCCCATATAAGCCTGAGTTTGGTGAGGGAAGGTGTAAAATCTGTTCAGTATAAATTAAGACCTATATAATATACATGTAATATTCATAGTATATTAAAACGGAAAATATTCTCCGTGTAAAAAGTATGTGAGGCTAAAATTCCAAGATATTAAATTGAATAAACGACAGATATGCCGAATTTTCAGCTAAATATACTTCCGCCATGAGAAATAGTCCCTCATTAATATGGCTTTCTTGTGGAAGAATTATACTTCTTGGTGTGCTCCTTGGGAAAGAGTCAGAAAATGTACATATCTCGCAATATTTCTGGGACAAACCAGTTTAACGATGAATTTGTTACATATAATGTAGCAAAATGTACAAATTTGATAACTTAAATCCAGTGCATTAACTACGAACTATCCGGAGAGTTCCGATTGCAAGCATGGCGTGTTTGAAGCAATAAAAAACAGTGAGAAAATAAATTTTGAATATTCATTTATATTTGGATTTTTTCAGGGATGGGGGAATAATAGACATCTTATAATCTCAAAAAGTATGCATGGGGTGTCTCAGATTTCTTTTTAGAACAATCTTTTGTTGTAGTTTTGTTTCATATGCAAATTTTCATTTGGACGCTGCATGCCCCATCCCCACTTTTGTTGCTGTTTGTCAAAATATAACAATATCAAACAAACTGAAGTCATTCTAAATACTATATCCCCAACCTTTGTCAATATGCGTTTTCAGCTGGGAGTAGAGATTTTAAAATAAATTTCTGTATAACTATTTGAAAATAAAACAAAGATGGGTGAACTATGTGAGCCAAAGCGTTCCAGTTCGCCAAACTTGTAGGTGAAAATTAAATCTCAATTATAGCAAATTTTCTTGTGACATTAACGTATACTTGATGTACAATCTCCACAAAATTTTTATTAAAAAGATTGCTTTTTGTCTGCTGTTTAATGTCCTTTTCAAAAGTTTTTCACTCATAAAGAGACGCCACCACTTGAACTGCAAATTTTGTCCTATACTTGGCACTCATGGTCATTGAGCAGTAAGGGATCTTTTTCGTGCTTACTCATACTGTTTAACAGGGCCTCGGATTAAACAGCCTCATCCAAACGCCCGATATCCACTTCCCACATTATTATTTTTTGAACCTGAAATCAACTCTTTATTTCGCAACTTTTAGAACAGAAGCTCTAACCGCTGCGCCACGCTGGTGACATTAAAAATATTATTTTTTTTTCCTATGAAATAGAATTCAAACCCCAAAGAGGATAAAAAGAATCATTTTCTAATACTATAACATAATTTTTGATATGAGTGGATCATCACATATTCCAATTGCAAGGCCTGAAGATCAATAAGGATAAGATGTTTCAGATGAATAGTCTGAAAGAAGGTATGTGAACTCGTCAAGTCAGTTACTGTTGACTTCCTTTTTTTCACAGGTTCATTATGCCGCGGAATCTCAGTTTCCTTTTAATCTGCGGTTTGAAAATTACGCGGATTTCTCAGATTGTCACTATATCCCTTGCTTTTATATTAGTACGCTTGGACAAATTTCCGCGGATGATTTGTGACCGCGTAGATAGAGTAAATTAATACCACGCGGAAGAAATTACTTCTACAGTATATTCAGTTGGGGCTTGCTTATAAACAGTTGCAGAGTGTGTCATGACTTGGAGGAGAGTCATTTATACAAGTTTAATATCAGAAGAATTGTACATTCCTTTATCGTCTTAGCTTTCTACTGCTGAAAATTGCAAAATGATATGCCTTTGAAGATTCCTCACAACCTTAACATTAGGCAAGACCTTGACTTAATGTCATTTTGTACTATTCGTAGCTTTATTGGATTCCTACTCATTGCTTTGCAACGAGATCGAATCTAGTTTCGTCTTTTAAATTTGAAAAAAAAAATCCCATACACTACTGTTCATAAAAAGTCTGAAAGCGCATTATGCGACTGTGTATATTCCAGACATGCTGGTTTATTTTCCTTCTAATGTTTGACACGTCTGCTTCATATCTGGACGTTCTACTGACTTTAAACGATATTTTAAAGACTAACTTCTTAATTGTCTGACAACTATGATAACTTCAGCATTTGCCAACTTCAACATTCTTTATGTACTAATAATTCGCTAGCACTTGCAAATGATGTTTACGTCTACCAGTTACATGTAGCCGTAAAAACACAAAGAATCTGGGGGGATTAGGCGAATAATATGCCTACGCAAAGGCAGGTAAAATATTGAATTTAAAAATTCTTACAAATTCCACTTTTTGTTAAATTTGAAACTTATTTATATCCTTATGCATACAGTGAAGATAAAATCTGAATCAAAAGAAATTGATTGTAATTAACCCACCAAAATGGAAACACGCTTTAGAAAATGATAGAAATTGAATGTTAAAACTGTGTGTTTTATATAGAGTGGGTCTTCGTACCATTTTTTTTTTGTAAAGAAACATTGAAAGGGAACGGAAAGCTGTATCTCTATCCCCATTTTCAAAAAAAAAAAAAATGATACGAAGACTCACTCTATGTAAAAAAGTTAGTTATCCTAATTTAATTTCGGAACATATTCTCAAAAACTCTAAACCCAATTATGTGTTTGCTATACTCGTACATATAGAACTGTTTGTTAAAAAGGGTAATGTATATGCGACTTCGTGGCTCAGTGGTCATAGCGGCAGTGTTGAAGCACCCAGTTATTTGTCGCGAGTGTTCGAATCAAGGTTTTTTTAAGTTCAGTTTGCAATTTATAGATATATATATTTTTTCACCAAAAACAAAGGGAAAAAATAAGATAATGAATTTATTTACGGTCAAATAATATATTTCCTATAATAAAACAAGTTTTCAAGATGTATAACATTTTGAATGCATTCAGTTCAAGACAATATTGCACAATTGAAAGGTAAACAATCATGGGTAGACCAGCACGGTATGGCTGTTCCGTAAGCAAAAACAGTTAAAAGGAAAGTTAAAGCGTACCATCTCCCAACCCCTAAAAACATATTCGATAGAACAATTAACACGCAGCATGAAAAGCATCACATGTTAAAAATACTGGAACGATAACAGCAAGGTTTGAAATGGTAGATATTGTCATTTGGACAGTGCTGTACATAGTTTAAATGTTTAGGTAAATCGTGCGACTATTCCGATAGCTTACAGAGCGACAAAATCCGTGTGGGCATATGACTCGCCTACTCCTCCCAAATTCTTTTAGAGGTTTGAGGAAAACCTCTTGGTTCGTGGGGATTTAATTTCGTGGATGTAGAATTTTTCAGTAGTTATGTAATTGAATGTTGTCACAGGGGTTTCAACAACTCTAATTAAAGTCAGCATTTCGCAAATTCAATGGTTGTATCAATTACTCTCTCAACAAATATAACATATAATTGGGCCAATTTTCTGGCCTTGGTTTTTATGCTAAATTCGACAAAGAAATGTTCCGTTTACTTGATTTATTCACAGGGCTCACGGCGGATGCGATGGGTCAAAAGTGGATGTTTACTGATAGATATTTAAATAATAAAATGCTTTCTTTGGTTGTCAGTACGGGAATTAATGTTGCAGCTATTGCAGAAAAAGCCTTCAGTCTGTTTAAAAACATCCATGTATAAATCATATGTGTCAGAGTATAGTGAGTCTTTAATATCAAGTTCATTGGGATATTTTGAGATGATATATGAAAAGAAATTCAAAAAACAATTAAACAAAAGGAATACCAAAACTTATCTTGTATCTTTGCAAAAAAGACCCCGTAGCTTAATCATAAATTTGTTATCATTAAAGTAAAAATGAAAACAAAAATAATGTACGAGGGTTGTCCCAAAAAGTCGTAGACAATGTTTATAATTTTTTAAACATGCAACCAATACTTACCAAATTTTGCATAGACATAATGTACTTAATGTTCTTTAAAATTGTGAATTTTTAAATACATATCTTTTATATTGATAATATTAGGACAATTTATATGAAGGCCGATAAGGCCTGTCGGCGCATAGACAAAATTCGGAATAATTTACGCATATTACTATTACATTTGCTATTTTTTTAGTACTATATAATACGTTGAACTCAAATTCAAATCACTGAAACCAGAATTAAAATCTTAATATTATGTCAGAATTTCATTTAAATATCATTAGAAACAGACGATTGGTGTCATGATTTTCATAGTATCGATGAACTTGAGTATGATGAAAATGACGACGTCAAACGTGTAGTCGGCGCACGGAGATGTAATAAATTGTGATATGGTTTATATACATCAGAGACGGGAAAAAAAGAGTACAGAAGTGACATTACACACCAGATTTTAATAAAGAAATTGTTTTTAGATTAGACAATATTCAATGAGAGTTTTTATTCTGTACCAAAAATAGTTAATTACGGCACATAAGAAGTAGAGTACTATTTGATGAACGCAGACAATTGGGAACAATCTGGACGCGAAGGACTTCAAACAATGGGCATTCTCTGCTGCCTACAATGTAAGACGATCTTTCGACTAAATTTCGACTGAAATTTGAATCTGCTTTGAAAACTAAAACAAGTAAAAAAACAAACAGAAAGTAGTGATTTTAAATATTTCCATTAATCAAGAGTGGTCTATCACTTTAAAAAAATTATTGAATATTAATACCCGCGAGTGAAGCAAACAGAGACCATGACGTTATAAGAGACGTACTTTACGCTTTCTTTCGTGCGCCGGTGTACACTTATATCCTTTCTTTATTTCTTCATAATTTTCTTATAAGAAGTGATATCAACATGAAACTTGAAGTGTATGATCATAAAATGTTACTTTTTGCTATGACAAGGAAAGAAATTTAATTTAGCAAAGAGAAACAAAACCGTTTCCCCTATCTACGACTTTTTGGAACAACCCTCGTATTTAATATTTATGTAGTGTACATGTACATGTTTCTTATTCCGATCAACTTCAATTAAAATTCATTTATATTTGCCATATCCATAACAGAAAATCATTTTTTATCATAGCAGAAAAATTAATTTCTGAATTTGTCAATTTTCAAGTATGAAAGATATCTTTTTTCAGATAATATATCTGCGGGTAAATATTCTGAACAAAATTCAGTTTGGCCATGTCCCCATACTACTCCACACTGCACCTTCAATTCAGCAAACAACGCAATTGATGGCTCAATCAATACATGTATGAAAACTGATATTATTGGTCCATCATCAGAAGATCAAACGGTGTGGTGGAGATTAGACCTTGGAGACATAAAAAGTATATACAGTATCAGGATACAGTTTAAAGACTATGGATTGCAATATTGTAAGTAACTACATTTCAAAGAAGTGAAAAGACTGAAATCTAGGCTTTCACTAATAGAGTTTTTTATATAGTTATTATTTATACAAAATTTTATTCATAAATAAAACTGAATGGGATTGGGCATCAGAAAAGCCTATTGTAGCCCTCTCCATACAAGGTCAAGCAAGGTGAAAACACACACTTTTAAAGGAGTGTTAAGAAAGTTTGTACCATAATGAAATATTGCAAATTTCAAAGTAATGTTTAACTGAAAAGATTAAATTCCTAGGCTTACATAATCACAATACTGTGCTTTTGATTTAAATTAATAATTTTTTTCAGGAAATTACAGAATTTTTTTTCATATGAAAATATATATAAATATCCTTAAAACACTCTTATGATAAAAGTGCGTGTCATAAGTTGGAGCCACTTTGGTACCCATAGCTGTGCCTTTGATTTGAAGGTAAAATTGCTCATTAAAATGAAAATGGTTATTTTCTTAAACTACCTGAAGGGCTTCCAGTATAAATTCTTTAGAGAAGCTTTCATTTGTTCCTGTCGGATATTTCTCCATCCAAAATTTCACAGCTTCAAGTCCCAAGTAATGTGGGATGTTGGTGTAAAGACTGATTATTTCAAAACTTACAAGAAGCGTGTTTTGTTGTACTTCCTTTGAAATGTAATTAAGGAAATCCAAATCATCACGGATGAAACTGGGTACTTTTTTGCACAATTGTTTGAGAATCAAATCAAGTAGTTTGCTCAGTCTTTGTGTTCATGAGGATGGCCCTGCTACATATATTATGGGACGGAGTTTTAAATCCGAGGGTTTCGGAATTTTTATATATGTATTTTCACATCTTTTGATATTTTCCTGGATTTCCTTGGATTTGTGAATTTTTGGTAGACCGTAGAAATTACTGGTTTTAACTTCTAAATGTGTGAGATAATCTATATCATTCTTAGTAAACTCAACAGCAATTTTTTTGTAAGCCGTTCAATTCTACGCATTGTTTGACGGTCTCAATTTTTGTAAAGTTTTTTATAAAACTGATCATCTTGAAGTTGACTCATTACCATTTCCTTGTAATGGTCTCTATCCATTATAACTATTGCACCTCCTGTGTCCACTTCTTTGATAATGATAGACGAATCTTCACTCAGATCTTTCAAAGCATTTTGTTCCTTTCTTGAAATGTTTGATTTCACATTGGTTTCCACTAAATTAGTATCGGCTGAATTTTTAAGACACATTATGCAATCTTCAAGATGTTTATTTCTGTTTGGTGGCGGTTTAAAACATGTTTTATTTCTAACTAAAGATTCGTCGTCTTCTGTTTCATTTTGAAAAAAAATCTCCCAAACGCAATTTTCGGCAAAATTCCTCCGTGTCCTTTTTTTTAAGTCAACATCATCTTTTTTAGGGGTCGGCGTAAACTTTAACCCACGTTCTAAAATTGTTTTTTCTTTACTTGTTAGGTCCCTTTGGGATAAATTGATTATCTTAGGTCCAGGTTGTTTTGATTCATCCATTTTCTGTTCCTGTTGAATACTTCCGGTTTCTTGCGTTTCTTTTGATTCTGTCCCTGTCCTAAAAATGATCCCTGTCAAGATTATAGTTTTGTTTGTTGTAATTGACATTCCGTTGGTATTTTGTTTTTTTATTCAACGTCTTGTTTTGATTCTGATGTTGTCTTTGTTTATGAAGTTGAACATTTGATTGATGGAATTTTGGATTTGCTGGTTGGTGTTTTGCAGGACCATTACTTTTCTGCTTATTTCCTTTCTTCACCATCTCAGCATATGAGGGATTTTGCTTCATTGTTTTACCTTTAGATTTGAATGTAGGAAGACTTCTGGCTTGTTGATTGTTATTCTGCGTTTGAGTTTTCCTTGGTTTATTGCTAGCAACGCGTTTCTGTTTTGTTTGTTCTGTGCCATACGTTGCTTCATAATTTCCTAACCATGCGATTTTGGATTCAAGTATTTTGTTTGATTTCTCTTCTTCTCTTTTTGTATCTTGTTTCCAAAGATCAAGAAGTTTATCCCGAATTTTTCCATTACAGCTTCTGCCTATCACATCTGTAATTTCCGCATCACACTTTTCAGATTTGCTTTTAAGAAAGAAAACTATATGATAAACTTCCGGAAATGTTTGACAAAACTTTTGTACAATACATTCGCCAAAACTGGAAAAGTTTCTTTGATGATATTTTTATTTTTTGGAAAAAAAGTGAAGACGATTTACAAAATTCCGTACGGTGATTAATCAATTGCGAAATGTCCGCCTCTTTTTCAGAAAAATCGTCACACGATGTCCGCCGCTACAAAATGGGTTTCATTTGGGTCCATTTGGGTAAATCGTCGGATTACGTCCGCCGCCAAGAAATGTCCATCTATTCTCGGTAAACTCGTCACTGATCACATAATGTCCGCCGTTAAGAAATGTCCTTCAATATTTCTGATTGTAAATATCGTCTCGTAATGTCCGCCAACACGAAGAGTGCGCACTTTCTTTTTTAAGAATTGAGACGTTTTATATACATTTAATTTTTTAATAAACTTTATATCAAAATTATTTTAATCTTTTTCTAAGAAATGATGTTCTCAATTTTTTAGTCTTAGTCGTAAGTTCTTTTGTAAAACGGGCCCCAGGCCTTTACCGACTTGAACAAAACAATACAGAATTGTCCCTTTCTAAATTTTCAAATGATCACGTGTTTACTTCATCCAATGAGGGAACGCGTTGCGCGGTCTCACCTGGCCGCAGGTAGGTATCTGTTTTTACTTTGACCACTGCTGCGCCACATTTCTTGGCAGCGGACATAATATTACTATTTTTGGGGGAGAAAGGCGGACATTTTGTAGCGGCGGACATCGTGTGACGATTTATCAGAAAAAGAGGCGGACATTTCGTGACGGCGGACATAACGTGACGATTTTTCCGAAAAAGAGGCGGATATTTCGTGACGGCGGACATAACGTGACGGCGGACAAAACGTGACTCAACAACCATTTATCAATAAGATCTAGATCACTAGTAAGCGATTGTTCTACATTTGTGGCTTCCTTTTCTACAGTAGGAGGGGTCATCAGCAAAAAAACGTTCATGTATATATTAAATTGTCACAAATATCATTCATATATCATTTACTCGAGTATATTGTCTAATCTGAAATCAGTGCACAATTATATTTTTTCTACATTGTACTTAACAGGTAGACTTTGGGTCCAAAACTCAACGTTTAGACGATAAAATTAATTTTTAAAATTTTTAATGAAAATATATTTACAGTGTGTAACATTCTGAGCATTAAGCTCACAATGGGTATTCATGGTGACAGTACACTTTGAGTGTTTTTGCTGATTAACACAGGCACTTAGTGTCAGGGGGAGTTAACGGTGTCTCCATTTTTCAAAAATAAACTTTTGCAATAGAAAATGTACAATGAAAGGTTTATTGAATCTTCGCAATAAAATTTAATTGGACCTTTCATCTCACTCTTACATTTATCGGTCACGGTAGCCTAGTAGTAGAGCGTTCGCGTCGTGATCGGGAGGCCTTGGTTTGATTTTCGATCTAGTCGCAGTCGACAAACCTAAGACGTAAACATAGGTAGTGACTGTTCTTTAGCCATTCGGACGTAGATCCCGTGTCACGGTAAAGGTTGGCACCATAAAGAACCCTCACTGCTCAATATCCATTAGAGTCGAGTATAGGTATAAATTTGAAATCCCGGTCACTCTTTTCAGGGTATTTGTCACGAGCTGCTAAAAGGTTTATTTAAAGCAAAATGGATTGTATATCTTTTATCAGATTGTACCCTTCATTTTGCCTTTACACTTTAATATGATTTATTATGCCTCTATTGATAATACTCGAATTTGATTCGCTGGTTAGAAAACTTTAAAACACAACAATGACTCCAAATGGTACTGTTTACAGCAATAATGACCCAGGAATCATTGCACGTGGGATATAATGACCCGGTCATTATAATTAATGACCGCTAACTAATGACCTCTTAATCAAAAATTCCTTTTTGAGTGAAGTTAATGTAAAAAATAATAAAAAAATAAAATAATTAAATAAAATAATAACAAAATCATAACACGTTTTTAAAATTTTTCATGGTCCGTTCTGCATTACCATACAGCATACGGTAAAATTTTATCGTTAACTTAAACACGGTTTACTTATTTCAAAATATCGTTACAATTCAGTTCAATGGAATGTAGAAGCGGCTCTTTAAAGAGTTGAATTCTGTGTTAGGTTTTGACTGTGTATTTTTATTAACCAAATTTAATTGCATAGTTATCAAAGATGAAAAACACTTGAAAGTAACAGGGACCTGTTCTGTGAAATGCACATAACTTCTTTTGTCATTTTTGTTTCTGTTTTTGTTGAGCAAGGGGGCTAAAAATGCATAGGTGCACTGAAAATGGATGCATAAACAACCCAATATCCCTCATGATTCATCTGTCAAATACGCAATATTAGTAATTGATGAATGTATTATAGTTAGATATTTATAAAATTCAAAATTTTATCTTTCTTTTGATATGTAGAAGTCTATGTAACAAGCTCCCATTCAATTTCTTTATAGAGGTCAGATTTGCTTGTCCCTCACCAAGTAACGTCCTGATAACATCATACATAAAACTGTATTTTGCACCCTTAAGGAGTAGCATTTGATGACTTTTCACACATTTATTTGCCTGTAAGTTCATAGAAAATTGCTTTATTTGTTCTAATTTATGTAGTAAACCATACAATATAATCTCAGGTTGACACTGTGTAAGGCATAATGCCTATTAGATACAAGTTCCATAGAATTTATACATGAGATAAGGATTCTGAAGGCTAAATTTGTTATTTTACATTATGACGCAAATGCATTGTGACATCAAAATGTGACGTCATGTCAAAAATGGAAGCTCTGCAAGGTCATGACCTTCAATTTAATTGATCGCAAATGAGAATATATATTATCTGTGTAAATATAAATGTGACATTG